CTCACACGCGCCCACACGCGCCAACTCCTGTCGCTCACTTCCGCCACGCGCCCACACACCATTAATGGCTACATTGTAAAGGATCCAGAACTTAAATCAAAGACACTTGATTTCAATATTTCTTGTTATTTTCCTTATCTTAGGCACTTTGGCAATCTTGAAGTCCTCTTCGTTGAGGCAAAAGAACCGTCAACACAATCGCTTGATAATTGGCTTGAATTTAATCTGTAAGGATTTTTCAATCCTTGCTGGCACGCTCGCATTTATGATATTTTCCTTCGTAGGAAAAATAAGCCAACAATATGTAAATAACTATAAACACAATCTGTGCATAACACGGGTGTAACATTAGTTTGAATATAATGGTAAACAGAGTTGGCAATCTTGTACTCTGTTTAATTGGAATTGAACCCTGCGAGGAGGATAGGTTACACATCTGTGATCTATCTTTTGCTACCATGCATGTGTTTATTTGTATCCTACTCTATAAGTGAGATATGTGAAATTTCACATTGAGTATATCGGTGTGTATGCATTTGCATTTATTTGTGGGCCAATTTTTCGTGACTTTGAGTAATATTAGAGACTCTTAAATCTATTTATACAATTTAACTATAATACTTTACGTCAAAATTGGACTTTAGTGGCGATATTTTACCATCGTTAAAGGCTGTAAAACCACCGTTAAAACCTTAAACGGCGGTATTAACGGCGATTTCGTTGCCGCCGTTTATGCACGTGTCGGAAAAAGTACAATCGTCATAAAAAGGTAAATTACCGTCGTTAAAAGTCGACCAAAAACGGCGGTAATATAGGACCAAAAACGGCGGTTTTTTACAGCCGTAAACAGGTTCAGATTTTTTCAAAAAGTAATTCTTTCTTCTTGCACTCCCCAAGTTTTGAACCCAAGACCTCTCATCCACCCACACCAACTACTCTGCCATAGCCACTCTTCATGAAATATATTTCCTAAATAAATATTTAAACATTACTTTTACTTTATTATAGATGGTTTTGCTGGAGCTCGCCGGAGTTTCGCCGGAGCACGCCGAAGTTTCGCCGGAGCTCCGCCGGCAAAGACCGCCGTCATTAACGGCGGTAATGATTGGGCATTAGCGGCGGTTTTGTAACTGCCGTTAAAGGCCGGCATTAGCGGCGGTTTTGTTACCGCCGTTAATAGAGGGTTTCATTACCGTCGTTAAAGACACTTTAATGGCAATTTTTTTAACGGCGGTAACGAAACCGTCGTTAATTCATTAACGGCGGTTTCGTTAACGGATTAACGGCGGTTTCGTTACCGCCGTTAATAGTACCTTTAACGGCGATTTTCGTTACCGCCGTTAAAAAAATGGCCATTAATATCCTGTTTTGGCGTAGGTAATAATTTACATCATTATGAATGAATTTTAAAACGATGGTTTAAGAATTTTAATACTTTTCTGAAATAAATAAATATTGGGTTTCTTCTAAATGCTTTGATTAATAAGATTTTAATGATTATACACTTATATGGTACATATTTTTTATAAAGAAAGAATAACGCTTTATTTGGTGTTTACAGTTTTTTTTTTTTAAATATTTATTACAACAAACATTATAAATGAAAGAAAACGTTACTTATTTAGGCGGAATTTTTTTTTTCATTTTTAAAAAATAAAATTATAATTTTATAAATGTCACCTCCATATATAATTTTATTAATTAGTTGCTATCACCCACGGTTACTGTTACCACTATTATCATTACCATCATCTAGGGGTGGGCGCGGGTCGGTTGCGGCCACGGAACCTCCAATCCGCTATCCGTCCGCCAGATTGGCAGATTGGAGAAAATCAATCCGCATCCGTCCGCCAATCCGGCGGATGTGGATTGAGCTGATTGGCGGTTTGGCGGATGGATGCGAATCGGTTTGGCGGTTTAAAATTTTATAAATTTTTAACATAATTCAACTTGTGCACTTTCTCAAAAAAAAAGAAAAAAAAGAAAGAAAGAAAGTATTACAGTCAGTGATTTAAAAAAGTATTGCAATCACTGTATGCCTCATCTAAAGAAAGAAAGTTTAAAACTTTAAAATATCATGATCACTGCATGCCTCATCCACATATTATAATCACAGCATGATTCATCCATATAAAGTATTACAATCTGTGGTTCTTAAAATATAATAACAATTCAAACCACCAAAACCATGAAAGAACAGTAGTAGAGATTGTATGTCTCTGTATTGTTACATCTATATATATTTTTGAAAACAAAAACCAACCAGCATATATCATATTTTCTATTTATTATTTTTAGATTTAGATTTAAAAACCAAAAAATATAGATAAATAATACGTGTTTAAAAATTAAAAAAATTACTTAAAATATGAAAAAAATATGAAAAATTAAAAATTAAAAATTTCTAAAAATTATTTTCTAAAAACTAAAACTAAACAAGCTAATTCCTATTTTTAACAGAAACAACACTATAATTCCTATTTTTAACAGAAACAACACTATACATAAATGGTCTAGGAAAAACGAATTGGGATTCTCTCTTTAGTCTCTCTTTGTCTCCTTATTTGTAATAGTGGAGATATATCTCAAGATGATCCAACGCTTCCAATCTAACTTTTTTTAATTTTTTTTTAATTTTTTTTTTAAATAATTAAATTTAAATCGTTGAATCATCTTAGGTGTATATCTACCGCGGAAAGTTGGAAGACAAGAGAGACCAATGAGAGGATTCCACACAACCAGGCGTCACCCTGGGTACGTGGCAGCGTAAAATTTACTCTCTTCACAGCCAATGAGAAGTGTGACACTAACTAAACAAACCTTACACGTGTTACCACGTTGCACCCACGGTCCCCACCATGGTTAAGAACTCCCTAACCATGGTCAGTTGATTCATGGTTAAGAAATCCTAACATTTGTCATATATATATACCACCAAACCCCAGGCTGCTGCTCTGTCTGAAGCAGTGGAACCGTATTGGCTTAAGACTTGGCTCTTCTCTCTCTATCTCTCTCTCTCTCTCTCTCTATAAAGATATATATATATACAACTTTGTTTTGTTTGTGGGGAGGTGGGTTGTGGGTGAGAGAGAAGATGGGGCTGTGTAACTTTCCTAGCCCAGCTGAAGGGTTGGTTCATTTGCTAGTGATGAACGCAGTTTTGTCAGTGGCTCTTTTGAAGAACATGGTGAGATCAGTGCTTCAAGTTGTGGGTGTCAATGGGTCTCCTCCAAATTCAGAGACAAACCAATCGAATCAAGAAGAATTCCCACCAATATCTGACAACAATGGAAGAGCAAGAAGAGTTTCTACAACAAGGTTCAAATACTTATGTAACAAAAGGTCTTGTGGTGGTGACAATGACAATGGCAATGTTAGTGGTTGTGGCATTTATGGGAACATGTGGTGTGCAATGGAGTGTTGTGTGTGTTTGTGTGGGTTTCAAAGTGATGAGGAGGTGAGTGAGTTGTCTAATTGCAAGCATTTCTTCCACAAGGGTTGTCTTGGCAAGTGGTTTGATAACCACCACACTGTTACTTGTCCTCTTTGTCGTTCAATCGTTTGAGCAGCAGTGCTAAGAACACAGATAAAATTTACAAAATGAGTCACAAATGTGAGATTCATCTGTACGCTTAGACTTATTCTCCTTTTTGAGCGCTTTAATTTTAGTTTTAGTTTTTGGGAAAAAAAAAAAATTCCCATTTTCTTTTCCTTCCCCTTTTTATACCTTCAATGTTTTTCAGCAAAATTGGCTAAGGTAGTATATCAGCGTCTTGCTTTGCTTAATGTGAGGGTTGTGAGTTCACAAGTTGCAAAAGTTTAATGCATAATAAAGAATCGAAGATTTGACTCACATTAACTGATATTTCCCAAGTATAATGATCAAACAGTCATTTCACCTGTTGGAGCACAACTTCAGGTGGTAGCAATAATGTTTTTTATAGATTAAAAAAATGGGTAGTAGAGGCCCACAAATTCATGGCAACCCGTGATTATAAAAGTTCGTACTTCTTGTTGGGAGCTGGTCGCCCTGAGGTTATATTTAGATTAGCAACATGTGTAAGTATTTAAAAATAAAAATAATGAGTATGAATGAAATATAATTTTTTTTATTTTTTTTTTTTATTTTCAAATGTTTATTCAAATTTATGATCTGCGTAAAAGAATCCACAATGCATAAGACAGCATAATAAAGGTTGAAATTAGTTACAAATAACCAGTATCTCATCAAAGTTTTGTGGCATTTATAGATCAAAATTGCCGACCTCATACTGGTCCTTGGCTTCTCATGATGAGTCATGACTCACGTAGGGCAGAAAAATCTTCAGAAGGTTCCTTCAAACTGATGCCTCTAATTATTTCTAGGGTGCTGTTCTTGAAAAAAAATAATTAAAAAAAAGAAGAAGAAGAAGAAGAAGAAGAAAATTTGTGGATACAAAATTGGTGCTTTCAAACCTATAGAACTTCGTCGTCGCTCCACCTACAAAGAAGTCCTTGCTATTAAAAAAAGCATTGAAAAATTTCAGTTTCATTTAATTGATGATCACTTTTTAATTGAAACTGATGTTATGATTTTTTTCAACACACTTAGGTTTAAACAGAAAAAACTTTCCACTTATTCAAAATAAAAAAAGACCACGAAGAAATCCCGTTAGGATTGCCGTCACAAAAGAAAAGAAATCCTCTCTGCAATTTCAGGATCTAAACATAACCTAAATGTTGATTTTGCAACGACTAGTTTGAAAATACTAAACATCACTTTTCCCTTTCTTTACCACCAAAATGAGCTTCAAGAACATCAAATTAAACTTTGTTAAACTGCCAGAGATCATTAAGACTTGAAGTTTTTTCAAAAAATATATATATGTGTGTGTATATTTTGGAAAGGTGCACATTAGGCAATGGTAGTGAATAAACTCAAGAAAGAAAAACACAAACAAAAGCATATTAAAGGGAAATTTCACAATCTTATTATGGTCCACATATTAGCCATTATAACTATATGTTTCACAGGGCACAACCATATGAGCGACAACAAGAGAAAAAGACATAACACAAAATAGGCAAACATCAGACAACATAGGAAATTATTTGGAGAAGCACTCCCGGGCATTATTTAGTTAAGTATCCAGCCCTCGACGTTTCATTTGATCACGAGCATCAAAAGCGATCCATGGACATCGATTTGCCCAATTGGTACTTCTTATGCTCGTACTTGATAAAGTCATCGGCTTCAGCATCAACATCCTCTTCGTAGACTTTTTTGTTACAGTCCTCTTCGTAGACTTTGTAGCCACTATGTTTGGTTTTGACAAATTCATCAGCTTCAGCATTATTTTCGGCTCCATAGACTCTGTAGTTACCGTCGTTAGCATACTCAGTAGCGCTCTCATAGTTCTTCTCCAGTATGACCTTGTGAGTCTCTGGCTTCCTATAACCATAGGACGACCCATAAACATCTGGGTATGGAGGAGCATAATGGACAACTGGCCTTTGAGGCATTACATCGAACACTTGGTACTCTTCTACGATCTCCATTTGAGGCTGTTGGTGATGATGTTTGGAATGGTTTTCTGAACTTCTATGCTGCATTTTTTTTTGTTGGCTTGTGTTATGGGTACAATGGAAATAATATTATTGATTGTTGATAAATTTCCAGATTTATATACTCATTATTTTGGTGTACGCCAAGACAATGTAGAATCTGATTCTTATTAATCTTTTTGGCACAGAATTCATTCTACTTTTGTGTGCCGAAGACTCTAAGAAGATAGGAGATAAGAACACCACAACTCCTAAGTTTATTCCATTGATGCGATACCTACCACTTGGGAGTGGTGAATCTTTAAAGCAAGTTTAGCCCAATCTTGTGTACAATGGTATGCTTATGCACCCCTCAATGGCAAAATTATTTGGGTGTTTACAAATAGGGAAATCCTATGTATGTACACAACATCTCGAAGGCTGTGTATTATATACATTCTATTATAAATTGAGTTATTTTTATTATAAAATCTTATAATATCAATTATAAAATATGTAATCTCATATAAATTGACATAACAAAAAATATTATAATCAAATTAAAAATATTTGTTACATAAATCATAAAATTTTGAACACTTTACTATGGTAATTTGTAATAAAATTATGTATTTTATAATTAATATTCTAAAATTTTATGATAAAATTATTCTAATTGTGATGGGACGCATATGATATAGTGTGTACATAAGATTTTCGTTCAAAGTATCATATCACATTTTCCTTCGAATTATTCCTTATCTGTAAACTCCATAACAATGATCGGTCGGTGTTGTCTTGTAGTAAACATTTTATATTACACTGTTTGTTCTTATCATTGTTTCGGAAGTGGGTTTATGATTTTTTTTTCCTGCTATAATTTACGGTAAAATAAAATAGATTAAAATAGTTAATAAAATAAAATATCACATTAAATTTATAATTACTTCATTTTTTTTTTCTCTTATAAACATTATATCTAATTACAAAAAAATCTAACTAAAAATCTAAATTTTAACCTACTAAAATAATTAAAAACTAAAATAGCTTACTCAGAGCCAATTTGGGAATATGATTAAACTATTTTAGGTCATATCACATCTTTATTTTTTTTTTGTGCATTTTTATATAAAAAATTAAAAAAAATTAACTTTTAACTAATTTTTCAAAACAACACAAAAATAGTCAAATTTTCAAACGAATGCATGATTCACACACTTGGTGGATACAATTTTTAGTACAATTATAGCATCAAGAACACGGAACATTTGTTTTCGTTTTGTAATTCATATCCGGACCATGAGTATTCGGTAATTCATTTAAATTATAAATTTTCGTTCAGTTAGTTTCTGAACAGAGGGTGTGAAATTTATTATTATTATTTCCATATAATAGGGCAACTTTGAGTCGTAATCATGGTCTCATTACAAAAGCATGTAATTTAATAATACCGGTGAATTTAGTATAACTTATTGTAAATTATAAGTTAATAATCAACATCTAAATAATCAATTTTTTTAATTTATTGAATTATTTTTTTATTTAATAAATTATAAATAAAAATTATACGAAATAATCTTGTATAGACTTCTACAATAAAATAATTTTTTTTTTATAAATAATTCAAATAAATTACATCAAATAACCCTACGCATTGTGACCTGATCACAATTCAAAATAGTCTTATTTACAATACATACATACACTTTTTTTTAATTTTTTAATTTTTTATAAGATATGTTCCATAGTCTGACCCTAACATTATTCTTCACCCATAATTTTCTTCTTAGAACTAGAATTGGTAAAGACAACAAGGGGTCAAAAATTTTCCTAAAAAAATATAAATAAATAAATAATAAAAAACATGTGGTCAAAATTTGGTCTGCAATCCCAACATATAGCTTTTTCACCTTTAAAAAAATTTTGAGTAATTTTATACCATAGAATTTACATTTTAAAATTCTGTATTAAATTATGTCTTATATACATCTATTTATTGAAGGTTAAAAATTCTATCACTATAGTTGATAATTAGGAGGTGATTCATGTTTTAAAATAATATCTTAATTTTGATTCTTAATAGTGTGTATAAAATTTTAATAATTAAAAGTTAAATACAAATAAATTTGTTAATAATTGATGAAATTTTTTGTTACCATGTGTGTGATCATATTTAAAAGGCTCATAAAAACGATTTCTTTCAAAGTTTTTTTAAAAAAAAGTGTATTCTTAACCTGAAATCAAATCTTCATTTTTGTTAATCAAATTTATCAAAAAATCATGAATTTTACTTGTATCAAAATAAATTTTACTGAAAAAAAAATAAAAATAAAAAATTCTATAATATACAAATTATGACTTGATTATAACTCACGGTGTATTATTTTGGTTATTAATTGAAGGTCTTGTCACGACCTGCTCCCCTTACCCAAGGGTTAAGCATCGTGATGGCCAGTAACTGAAGTTACCTCTGGCCAATTCTTGAACAAATTAATAAACGCGAGCGGAAATAATATTTAAATGAGGGTACCAAAATAATCATTGGAGCTTCTATTTTTATTACAAAATTTATTGACCAAAATGCCGATATTTACATAGAAAAATATCATAAAGTGTTGTGTGTGCCTATTCGGCAGCCCCGCGTCTAAGACTTTCCAAAAGTTATTTCTGAATTACACTGTTTCCTGAAAATTGGTAAATAGCTATAGGCACATGGCAGAGTGAGAAATATTATACCAAGAGTATAAGGGACACAAAATAACCATGGATAGTTATGTCACTAAAATATTTAAGATAGTCTAAACAAATAATCATTTAAGTAGCAAAACTGAGATTATGTAAATAAATAACCATAACCACGGTACCGAACAAAATAGAACAGAGGTCACAAGAGTGACAGTCAGAACAAAGGTACGGATTCAAGAGGTGGCTCGTACGGATTATAGAGGTGGCTCCCACAATGGTGTAGCACTTATCTCCGTACAGAACAGAGGTCAATAGATCCATGATAATAGAAGGCCACAAAGTGGCCAAACAAAGGTCAATGGTTATTTAAGTCCCCCAAGGCGTGGGACTCCTGTGGTAGTACTTACAAAATATAATTGTTTATAAGGTAATAGTCAAATATTCTTTAAAATTTAAACAAATATATCCATGGGTTTCATTTTAAACAAATAGAGTTTAGAAATTAATTCACGTAACTGAAATATTAATATAATTTATAAAACATAACTTGTATAAAATAAATTATGGTAAATCAAGATATACTTAAAATATATTATGGTAACTCAAGGTATAATATAACTCACCTTAATGTTGACTCTCAA